CCTGGAGGACCACGAGTCGGTGGTGGAGGTGCAGAGCTCCTGGCCCCCGGGCGCCGACAGCCGCTTTGTCTTCCGCAAGAACTTCGCCAAGTACGAGCTCTTCAAGAGCAACGCGGTACGTGGCCACCAGAGCAAAGCCTGCGGGGACCCCGGTGTCTCACGGGGACCTGGATGCCCCATGGGGACCCCGAGCGCCCCGTTGGACTCCCTTGACCCCCCCTGTCCCCGCCCCCCCAGCAGTCCCTCTTCCCCGAGGTGATGGTGTCCAGCTGCCTGGAGGCGAATAAGAGCATGGCACACTCCGAGCTCATCCAGGTACGGGGCCACCGTGCCCGGCTGTGCTGCGGGGACCCCGGCTGTGCCGTGGGGTCCCTGCTGTGCCGTGGTGACCCTGCCGTGACGTGGGGACCCCACCGTGCCCCTCAGCCCTCGTCTTCCCCCAGAACTTCCTCAACTCCGGGAGCTGCCCCGAGGTCCAGGGCTTCCTGCACCTGCGGGAGGCCAGGCGCAAGGTCTGGAAGCGTTTCTACTTCTCCCTGCGCCGCTCGGGGCTCTACTACTCCACCAAGGGCACCTCCAAGGTGAGGGCGTGGGTGGGAGCACGGCCAGGGGGGGGGTGCAGCGGGGCTGACCCTGACGACCCCCCTCCCTGTCCCCACCCCAGGACCCCCGACACCTCCAGTACTTCGCTGACCTCACCGAGTCCAACATCTACTACGTGACGCAGGGCAAGAAGCACTACGGGACGCCTACCGAGTTCGGCTTCTGCATCAAGGTGGGGGATGTCCTTGCCTGGCTGGGGGGGCTGGGGGTCCTTCTGTGTGCCTTCCCCTGCCAAGGGGTCTCTGCCCCCCCCCAAGAGCCGCCCGTGATGGCTCTGGCCTCTCCCCGCAGCCCTACAAGGTGCGGAGCGGCGCGAAGGGCCTGAAGCTGCTCTGCAGCGAGGACGAGCAGAGTCGGAGCTGCTGGATGGCAGCTTTTCGCCTCTTCAAGGTGACCGTCAGGGTCTTACCGGCCTCACGCTGGGGGGA